GGTTAAGTGAATCTGGATTCCCCATTGACTTTGCTTGTCAGAAGATCACAAAACTTGATCACATGATCCTGGGACACTGCAATTATCCTAAATATGAACCACTTGCCAAGCATCTGAATTTTGATCATGTGACCATGGGGATGCTACAACAGTCCTAAGTGTGAAAAACTGTCATAAGTCACTTTTTTTCAGTGCTATTGTAACTTTAAAGTCACTAAATGAATTGTTGTAAGGACTACCTGTACTTTGATTTTCTGCTCTGATTATTTCTTTTTCAAGATCTTCATCCATTCAATTTCTCCTACCTTCATGAGTAAAGATTAATTTTGCATGTCTGGGAGCTAAAAAATCATTTAATAGAGCAAGTCAAGACCTTCAATAGCTGGAGATTGTCCTCCATGCCACAGGCAACCATATATTTCACACTTATTATCCTAAATGCACAAAAACCAGCATTGGCTCTATAATTTTTACTTTGGCAAAGAAACTCTGCCTGCTGCAATTAAGTCTTCTTGGCTAAGATCCATGCCCAACTCTTTTTGGACTTCAGTTGGACCCCCAAAAGTCATTCTTTTCTCTTTCCTTTATCTAGGAATTTTCAAGCGTGAATATATCAAAGATGACTTTACATTATAAACAGAATTTTCATATTCTCATTTTTCAAGAATTATCCCTGCTTAATATAACATTAGAAAAACCGAGAAACTAGGCTCTCAAATAGCTCCATTGCTATTAAACACAGATCTTTCAATCTGCCAGTTATACTTACATATCATTTCACAATGGAAACTGTATTTAGTCATTAGTACAACAGGTGTGCACAGGTGTGTCACCTTCTGTCAGTGATCTTGTTATGGAGAAGATTAACAGATAATTGAATGAAACGCAGTTGTAGAGGTATAAAAATCATCACACTTCTTGCTTTGGAAATACTACCTGCTGCAGTTATTAACACCTTTTGGATGAACTCATTACAATTTTTTGTAATTGAATTTTTTTTAAGTTTATCTGGAGAAATTTCTTCTATCAGTTACCATTTATAGCATAGGTTTTTCACAAAATATCAAAGCTGCTGCAGAGCATTTAAATTTAATAGAAACAAGCATTGTTTTCCAACTTTATATAATTCATTATGCTCATGTGGAATATTTGGTTCCAGAGGTTTAAATTTTTAAATCTGAAATTATTTACATAATATTTTAAATGGCAACATTCTTTATTAATACTTTAAAAGTAAAAAATGGGACAAACTTTATATATGCAAATTGAGTGCCAATTGTTTACAGAATATTGGAGAAAATACCAAATTCCTTTTCTGTTCAAAGAATTAAGATTTCAAAAAAGCAGTTTTGGAATCATGCATGCCTTCATTTTATTAATGCCTCTTGAACATCAACTTTTAGTAAAAATCTGCATCTTTGTAAGGACAAAAAATTAAGAAAGGTTGAGATCTCAAAACACAGTAAGGATGTAAGAATAGCTTATACAATTACAGATTTATAAATGCAGAAAAGCCATTTAATATTAACTACTGGGAGCTTCCATATGGACACCAAAAAGAAAAAAAGTATAAACAAGAATCATGACTACCTCAAGGTACGCTGGCTCATGAATCTTTCTATATGTTAACATGAAAAAAAAATCAAGCATACCTGAAGCACACCAAATCGTATTCAGATTTGGTCAGACTCTTGCATCTGTGATTTTGTAGATCCAATCCAAATGCTACTGGTACGAAGTTTATAACTGTACTTCTCACAAATCTTTTCTCTCCTCACTTTACATGTAACCTCAACAGATTAAGCTACTGCTGTCCCAACCCACGCTATTCATGAGTGCCGCATCCTTCTATCTTGGTTTTTATGCACTTGTGTTTTTATCAGTTGTCAAGGAAACACCAGATTTCTACTACTGCAGCTCTGTTTAGATCAGTTATGGTAAAGACATTATCATCTTGAAATGTAGAGGTAACTCATCTAATTTGCTCAATAGTCTTGAGACTAACGTTAAAGTATCCAGCTTATAAAAAATACATTTTTGTTCTTAAATAGACATCTAAATTTACAGGAAAAGTAAATGAGCATTATAACCTGTACATTGTATTTATACATACATGTTATTACTCCCGAGAAATGGACAACTTCTAACTGCTCATATCCTCCATGGCAGCCATTTTCTGAAAATTAGCAGGATGTTTTGTCAACATTCCAAATATTTTTACCAGCCCCCAAAGACTTCTAACTTTGGGCTTCACTTGAAAAACCAAGCTACTCCATTCCTACCTGCCACTATCACCCAACAGCATTTACTTTTTAAAGACTTGTCATTTGCCTGTCAACATCTGCCTACATGCTAACGAAACAAAGAGAAACAGAAAAAATAGCCCCCTAATTGTAGAGTTATTTATGGATAAAAAATTTAGTGAGCCTTAAATCAAGTAAATAACCATAAGTAAACAATGATCCAGTGTGCCAAGCCTTCTATTGGTAGAAAACATAGACAAGCAATAAGCTTTAAGAAAGCTAACTGTAGGAGGAACAGTGGAAAGGAGCCACTTGGTTACCTTAATTTTTACTTCATAGATTAAATGAACAAAATATATAATCCTGGATTCTACTTCTAAAATCTATAAAAATTCCAGAAGCAGGACAAGAAAATCTCATTAAGTACCCAAAGTATACTCTCCCTAAATTTGGAGACTCTTTTTTTTTTTGCTGCATATTACTTTTATAAGCAGTAGCCTCAATAGATTTGACAGTCATTTTAGCCAACTGTGCTACTTATAAGGTACAGAGGATTTTGAAGATCTAGCAAGTCTGTACTCTTAACAAATGTCTTGAGAACCAACCTAGAACTAAGGAGAAATTTCCTGACAGTTAAGATCACACTGATCAATTGATCAGTGGAATGGCTTGCCTCCAGAAGTTGGGGGTGCTCCAACAGTGGAGGTTTTTAAGAAGAGATTGGACAACCATTTGTCTGAAATGGTATAGGGACTCCTGTTTGAGCAGGGGGTTGAACTAGAAGGCCTCCAAGTTCCTGTGTAAAACTGAGGAACTATGACTGAATGCACTTTCTTGCACAGCATAAAGTGTTGTGTTTCCTTGTGCACTCAGCTGTATAATGAAACAAGAACTAATGCTTTTCTAGTAGATCTCCATATGTCAGCCAGCTGCATTTTGTTAAAGTACAACAAAACTGTTCTATACTTTATATGCTAAATATACTGAAAGAGCAATCGAGAAATAAGCTTCTGAGGGCATAACTCTTTCAATGCAGAAACTTGGAAGAACTTATATGTATGATTCACATGCCAATGGGTTATTCTTGTCAGTTAAATTATTATGAGTGTATTTCAGATATATTTTACTCAAAGTAAAATTCATTGCCACAAGAAGTTGTGGTTATGATTGCTAATTTACATATCTTACAGAAGCATCACATAAACATATCAGTAAGCTATTGTTGTTAACAGATGTTCCATAACAGTCCATGGGACAACTATACAAAGGAAATATGAAGCACTTAAGTCTTAACTTACCAAGCAAAATAACTCTTTGCACTGGAAATCAACCACAATTTCTTTGATCTTCAAATAGTGATTTAACTTATTTTAAGTATTTTCTTTCCCAATGTCCCTTGACATTGAGTTCTAAGTTTGCAAAAGTACAGTATTTCCCTGGAAACAGATCATGAAAATCAGTTAGAATTTACTTTTCAGTAGACACATACAGAAAGAAGAATCCAGTATATTCAATTTTTCAAGTTATCCTATACAAATATACAGTATTCGCATTTAAAAATAAATACTTTTGCACACAAAATACTTTTGAAATGGCTTACAGATAAATAACACACAAACGTTAAGTTACCACAATTTGTTTAAAAGACAAAAAAATAAAAATGTTAATCTGTGATAAAAACTGTTTTGAAGTAAATATAAAGCTTGGTTCCCTGTGTTTTCAAAGGCATGCCATTCTAGTTTTCTTCTCTGCAATGCAGAAATTGCCTTCTTTTGTAATATTTTTTCCACATCCTAAAAGTTGAGAGCCTGGGATTTCCTAGTGGTGTCTCATTCAACATTAATCAGGTCTCATGTCATCAGTGCCCACCCCCTCAAAAATTATTCCCTATTTCTAAACGTACATCCTTTTCCCCAGCCTGAACTTTCCACTATTCCTAACAAGCCAAAACAACAGCAAAAAGCTAAGTGATAAAATAAAACTTGGAAGGAAAACTCAACACTTTCAATTTATTATTTATTCAAATCAAATGCTAAAGTCAATGTCTGCATTCATAAAGCAGGCTTATTATACCATTGATTCTTAGGCCCTAAACCAGGGGTAGGCAACCTCGGCTCTTTTATGACTCGTGGACTTCAACTCCCAGAATTCCTGAGCCAGCATGGCTCAGCTTGGAAACCTCTCCCTTTCCCCTCAGCATGGCTGGCTCAGGAATTCTGGGAGTTGAAGTCCACGAGTCATAAAAGAGCCGAGGTTGCCTACCCCTGCCCTAAACTAAACAATCCGCCCATATGCTTAGGCCCCTCCCATCTCAATCAGGTCAGTACCATTCCAACGTTATCTCACGGGGGGGGGAGCGAACAAAACATCCCCTAACAACGGCAGCGAATATACAAAGGAAGTTCCTATTAACTTATAGCTTCAGAAATAGCAAATATTCTCAACTCTATCTGCACCGAAAACTTATCGGATAAAAAAACTTACACCGGGAGAGCCACTATTTTCTCCCCCCCCCCCGCCAAAAAATAGAGACATAGAACTGTCCATCACGGCCCACTGTGAGGTGAGAAAGCGTCAACGGTCCAAAATTCGCCTTTTAAGCTTCAAAGGCAGCCAAGATGGCGGCGGGCGATTGAGCGCCAAATTCCCTCTCAGCGCCTGCGCGGAGGATCCGCCGGCGCGTGGCGCCGCCGCGGCTTTAAAACTTTTTATCCCTTATTACCACTTCTACCCACCGCGGCGTGGAATGAACCCATCATGCCGTTGGCCGTGCGAGGTCAGAGAGCTGTGGCACTGCTGCACTTCCTCTGCTTCCTCTGGGCAATCTTCGCTCTGACTCAAAATTTGGGGTTGCCTAAGTCGGTCCGGAAAGTGCACGACGATAGTTATGGCGGCCAATGGAAATACCTGACCTTCCTCAACCAGGTAGGCGCGCGAAACGACAAGCGTGCTGCGCCTGCCCAAATTAATCTTAGCCCTTCGCACGTGGCGGAGGGGAGGGTTTTGGGGAGGGTGAGCCAATGAGAGCGAGGCTAGGCGGGGCAAGACGAGAGGGAGCTTAAAGGATCAGTTTAGTATAGGTCAGGGGTAAGCAACCTTGGCTCTTTTATGACTCGTGGACTTCAGCTCCCAGAATTCCTGAGCCAGCATGGCTGGCTCAGGAATTCTGGGAGCTGAAGTCCACGAGTCATAAAAGAGCCAAGGTTGCCTACCCCTGGATAGGTGAAGCCAAATCCTGGAGGATCCTTTCTTGGATCTACTTGTGGATTATAATGCAGGTGACCCCCTTGATAAATCTGACGAGAGTTGGGCTATACAATTCCCAGCCAACGGCCGTTCTGGCTGGGAATTCTGGAAGTTACAGTCCAGAACATGTGGAAGTTAACAGGCAGAGCAAAGAGTCTCTAAATCAGATTCCCGAACATGGTGCCCTCAGAAACAACCAAAGAAAATCCGTCCCAGCCCAAGTCTCCATCGTTGCAGCCAATAGTGACTAGGAATTTTGCGAGAAGTGATTTTTTTTGGCAATACTGAGTGATGGGATGGAATAAAAACTCAGGTTGGATTCATTTGTAGTGCACTTATAAGTAAGCATTTGAGTTTATTCTTTAATTCTTTGATGTCCTTCTGTGTACCTCTCACTCAACATCCTTAATGGATTTTTCCCCATATTGTGCTGTTAGGGACTAATTGATGGTATGTGTGTTAGAAGAACTTACGGTATGTTACCATGGCTCCTTATCTCTTTCTGCTGCTAAAATCAGCCTGCCAGAATAACCATTGGGCTTGCCTATAAAAATTGCTGCATTGCTTTTCCACAAACGTTTCTGCAGGATTTTCAGGATTTACAAACATCATGGGAACCCACGTCTCCCTTTGGGACTAGATCAGTTGTAAAGCAATTATTTCTCTAATATGGATCCTCTGCTAAATGCTCAGACCGTCTTTATCTACATAAAAATAAGGTGAACTTGAGGCTTTTGCCTTGGTACTTCTGGGTGCAAGAGATCAGAGACTCATGGGAACCTGCTAGCTTTCAACTAGAAATTAATTGTTGATCCCCTTCAGTTGTTGCTGAGTTACTTTTGCCACAAAACTGGAAATTCTATGAACTGCAGTCCCAAAATGTCTGCAGAGCACTAGGTGAGGAGTAATTGATTTAGATGTACCGTAGATTCACAGTTCTCACTTTTGAGGTCTTTTCAAGTACCTGGTATAGTATACTGAAGAAATCTAGATTAAGGGACTTAGATAGAAGAGGTAAAAATATCCCAAGTCATGGCTTTTTACTTTAAATTTTATTCTTGGATAATAAATAATGGAAAGAAAATGTATGTTCCACCTTGAATATAACTTCTTTGAATTCATAGCTTCTACAGACATTGCTGTACTTATTATGTGTCACAATTGATGCTGTAGCCCTGTTTGTCCCTTCCCAAGAAAAGAAAGTATCGTCTATGGTGCTGCCTATTAGAGATTTCATCTTCTCTGCATATGTATTCCCTGTTGGCTTAGTAAGTAATTACAACATCTGCTATTATTCAAATAATCCATACTGTACTATAATTCCATTAGGTTGAGTCAGATTTGCTTAAAGCAGAGGTGGGGAATGACGGTCCCTTTATGACTTGTGGACTTCAACTCCCAGAATTCCTGAGCCAGGAATTCTGAGAGTTGAAGTCTACAAGTCATAAAAGGGCCATCGTTCCCCACCCCTGGCTTAAACGTTCATGAAATTTTAGATGGTTTTCTTAAAAACCACATGATCCTTTCCATAATCTCACAGTAAAAAAGTATACCCATTTGCTTACTGATAAAATCAACAGAAGCAACATTAATTTCTCAATGGTAACTTCATCATTATGGACTGGTTATGGACTTGGGCACTCTCTTACTCCTAGGAAGGAAGCAATTGCAAACCATTTCTGAAAATGTTGCCAGAATTTGAGGGACTGCCCAAGCAGTTGCCAGGAATCAACACTGACTAAAAAGCATAAAAATGTATCAATGGCTAGACTTTTTATAATATTTCTGGCATCTAGCAGTAAAGATATAATCATGTTAAAGTTACACAATATTTAGTTTGATTCTTTAAGGCAATAGAGTTGCTCTGAAATTGAGAATGAGTGGGCTTATAAATTAAACAACTAACAATTTAGCAAACTGATATGCCACCTGACTCCCTGTGACTTTACATGTGCAGATACAATTGTATGTTGCACTGCATGATCCAGAATATGTTTGAAGGTTTAGTTTTTAATCAGTGTTTATCTGGTGAAATTAAAACAATAACCCTCTTATGTTCATACAAGTACAAAGACAGTTTGTAAGATGGTGACTACCAGATTTCTAAAAATGTTCCAACATTTTAGGTTCTCAATAATGTTCAGATGTTTTCTCTCAGTTTGTAGCTATTGCTTTCTGGGGCCTTTATGCAATTGACAGAGAACTTGTGTACCCTAAAGAACTGGATGAGATTAATCCGGATTGGCTTAATCACACTATGGTAAGTATTTGACGCTTAGTGTCTTCTTTTGGCACATGCAGTTTGTTATGAATTGGATGATCGGTCGTACCTCAAGGACTATCTGTATTCACATAGGCTTTTCAAAAGGATCGCTATAATTTGACAGGATGTTCTGCTTTCAGAGTAGAAAAAATATCTTGAAAGTATTTTTCTTGCAAAAATGTTGGAACAGAATAGCAATAGCACGTAGACTTATATACCACTTCATGGTGCTTTACAGCCCTCTTTAAGCGGTTTACAGAGTCAGCATATTGTCCCCAACACTCTGGGTCCTCATTTTACTGATGGAAGGCTGAGTCAACCTTGAGCCAATCAGAATCGAACTCCAGGCTGTGATCAGAGTTTGCCTGCAATACTGCATTCTAACCACTATGCCACCATACCTCCTAGTGATCTGAAACCAGAATAAGAAATAATGCGATTGATTTTGTTTCCCTACATCAGGGGTAGGCAACCTTGGCTCTTTTATGACTCGTGGACTTTAACTCCCAGAATTCCTGAATTCCATGAATTCCAGAATTCATGGCTGGCTCAGGAATTCTGGGAGTTGAAGTCCACGAGTCACAAAAGAGCCAAGGTTGCCTACCCCTGCCCTACATCATACTTTTATGTTCTGCTTTTGCTTTTTAGCACACTACTATCCTGCCACTGCTTTTCATAGAGCTGGTTATATGTTCACATAAGTATCCTCCTAGATGGAAAGGAATATTGGGACTTGGCATCTTTGCAGCTGTATACCTAACATGGTAGGTATTCAATCTTGTTTGAGAAATTTATTTGAATTTAAAACATTTTTATTCATTTTGTTCAGATGTTTCTTTTGTATTAACTGGAAGAAAAGGAGGAAAGGAAGGGAAGAGAGGGGAGGAGAGAAGGAGAAGGATAGAAGAGAAGTAATTGCTTCTCTGAAACAATTATGTAATTCTTCTAGAATATTTAAAAATCACTATACAAGTTTGGAGGCAAAATTACAACAATAATATATATTGTTTCAATACTGCTTATTTATTTATTTATCATAAACCTGGTACCTCAATTTCTCATGGACTATGGAACCAGTAGCATTCAGATATTGCTGACTTCAAGTAGCCGAAATCTATCTTTCACTACAGTAATGGAAGTTGGAAAACGTAGTTCAGTAGTAGTATCTGGAAGATAACAGATTTGCCATTATGAAGTAGTCATTGTCAGACATTTTGTGTCCTACTGATTTAAATGGGAGAGTTAAGAACATTTCATTTTTCCTCATATAAACGGAGCTTTTCAAAGACCTCGCCTTGGAGATCACATTGTAGATTTTTAATTATATCCAACTTAGTGTAATATTAACTTTTGTATTGGTAAGTATTAGCCAATGGAAATATTTTCAGGCAACCTCGAAACAGGTGCAATATTTAACCTGTTTGGCTTCCTGTATTTCATTATGATGTTTACCTTGCTTTGTTTTAGGATAATTTGGATACATCATGTAGCTGGGATTTGGGCTTATCCAGTTTTAGGAGTGCTTGGTCTACTTGGAAAGGCGATATTTCTCTCCATTGCTGTAGGCATAATGTTCATCTTCTACTTCGTTGGGGAGCACCTAACAAAATGGTTGTGGGGTAAATTATGCTCTTTTTTTGTCTTTTTCTACATTTTCAGTCTGCTTACACTTTTCCAGGAGGTAATGTGTTCATGAGAGAAGCATTTTTCATTTTGTTTTTCAGTAAGAGAGAATCTTGTAATAGTCATAATGATTACCAGTGCAATCCAAGGTGCTAATTACCATCTCTGTAGCTCTTCAAGACATAAGGTTTGATTACTTGAGGGACTGCTCTCTTTTAGAGTTACTACCTGTGCCATCTGGCAATCAATATGCTTTGATTAAGTGATGACATCTGATGGAACTCAGGAAATAGGCCTTCTCTGTCCTAGCAGTTGCCCTCTGAAATAACATCCTTTTAGAGTCTCTGCCTTAATTTTATTAGACAAGCCCTTAAGAGTTGCTCTTTTCCTAGACCAGGGTTTTTCAACCTTTTTCACCCATTGTACCACTTTTAGGATATGGCACTATCCGAGTACCACCAGTCGCCTAGCAAGGTGTCAAAAACTTGATGACCCCCTCCCCAAAAAGGAAAAAAGTGATAAAGTGATCAAGTACAGGTAGTCCTCGACTTACAACAGTTCGCTTAGTGACTGTTCGAAGTTACAATGGCACTGAAAAAAGTGCCCCCCAAGCCACAGCTGAGCAAGACACCTGCCTGCCCACCTGGCGGCACTCTTCCTCCTGTCCGAGGTTTCCATTGTTGTGAGCATTTCTGTTGAGGATTGGCAGCGGGGGTGGGGTGGGGGGTGTTTGGTGTTTATTCCCCCCGTCTGCTGGGTGGTTGCAGCAGGTTTTGATGACAAAAAAAAAAAAGGAAAAAATTGATAAAGTACAGGTAGTCCTCGACTTACAACAGTTCGAAGTTACAATGGCACTGAAAAAAGTGCCCCCAAGCCACAGCCGAGCAAGACACCTGCCTGCCCGGCGGCGCTCTTCCTCCTGTCCGAGGTTTTCATTGTGAGCATTTCTGTTGAGGATTGGCAGCGGGGGTGGGGTGGGTGTTTGGTTTTTATTCCCCCCGTCTGCTGGGTGGTTGCAGCAGGTTTTGGTCACTTCACATGGCCCTGGGACACTGTGACCATCATAAATATGAATCAGTTGCCAAGCATCTGAATGTAAATCACAAGACCCTGGAGATGCTGCAACATTCCAGCTGATCGGTGCTTCTTCTGGGCTCACCAGAAGCACCAGGATCAGTGCTGCTTTCCAGCTGAAGCCTGGCACTGATCCTGGTGCTTCCACTGAGCCCTGACAGTCCCGAAGAAGCGCTGATCCTGGCACTTCCGCTGAGCCCTGACAGCCCTGCAGCTCCAGCCATCTCTCGCTCAGGCTTGTGCGGTGCTGCCACCGGTTCAGCTCATTCCCCTCCCCCACTACCACTTTTCTAGGATGGTCGCGTACCACCTGCCAGGTGCCAATGTACCACAGGTGGTACTCGTACCACTGGTTGAAAAGCCCTGTCCTAGACCAGTGTTGGCAAATCTTTTGGGCTCAGCATGTCAAAGATGCCAAAAATGCCTATCTTGACTCTATTGGTATGTGTGTCTCTCTCACACATACCCGAACAAAAGAGAAACAATTCTCTATCACCCCTTTACCATTTAGATCACCCTGAACAACACCATTCGGTGGCAGTGCCGAGGCTGGGCCTAAAGTAACTTCCAAGGGGTCTGGAGGCTGCATGAGGGTGCACCCCATTCTCATGCAACCTCCGCAGCCTCTGAAAATCGAGAATGATGTTTGCTTTCAAGAATAGTTGTCGGATGTTAGTGCATGCTGGCTTGTCACCAAAATGTAAGGGCGCGTCACCTTTGAGAGGTTTGCTATAGGTTTGCCATCACTGTCCTAAACCTGGACTAGACTGTCCTGGATTAGAATGGGTGGCAGACCCCTTGTGATTATGTGGTCGTTTCTCCAGACACTCTTTTTATACTATTGTATTTAATTTAAATTCTTTTAAATTTTATATATTGTACACCACCAAAAGTTCACAGTTGATCTGGGTAGCTTTTTAATTTAATAACATTTTTAAAAATTAAAATGGATGGGTTAGGACTTTCAGCTACCTACAGTTTTCTATTAAATATGCAATGGTTTGGCTAACACCCCATCTTCAATTATACAGATTTCACTTTCCTGGCTCTTTCAAAATCACCCTAAATTCAGTGTGCACTAGGACCTTGGAGAAGACCACATCCTTCCCTAACTGTTAATGTTGCAACGGGTGGCTATCACGGAAAGAGTCCCCTTCTCTGAAGGGTTTTCTTTGGAGAGACCCCTTAGCATCCTCAGTGAATGTACTTAGAGGCCAGGCTTCCTTTTCTGGTAGGCATTTAATTTTTAATATTTTCACTAGTTTACATAAATATTTTTGAAGTATAAAAGGACCCAGTTTATCATGAGCAGCTTAGCCAAATGCAGTCCTTGTATATTACAGCAATTGGAAGAAGGAAAAGTTTAGCCATAACTTTGCAAGGATCTCTTCATATATAGAAGGAATTATGTCGGGAGGGCTTTATATCTATGCCACAGTGATGTAAATGACTATGCTAAGTTTATTTTATTTATTTATCAATTTTAAAAGTTTGCAGAACAGCCAAATATTTTAACGTTCTGTTTATCTTTTATTCCCTGCAGCAAAGGGTAGAAAGAAGTGCATGTAGAGAAGACCCCCAAGGATGACATCAGTTCATTAAAAGGGCAAGCTCACCTATGGAATACAGTGCAACTTGAACATAGAAAACATTATAGATTGTAATTGGTTCTTAATGTTTACAGGAAAAATAACATCTTTTCAATCCCATCATTTGGAGCAGAAGTGAAGAATCTTGGGTCTTCCAGATGTTGTTGATATACCATTCCCAGCAATGCCAGTTGCCATACCATGGTTTCAAGAAATGGGGATTGGTTTAATCAACAACAGTTTGCAAGATCACAAGCTCTCTATCCCCCACCCTCTGGAACGAACTACCCCCCGAGATCCGGACGATTCCGGATCTCTTAACCTTCCGCCGCGCCCTCAAGACATGGCTTTTTCAACAAGCGGGCCTGACCTAAGGTGAGTTTTAAATAGGGACAATTTTTAAACAATTTTAAAGAGCCACAGCTACCAATATTTGGATTTTAATTGGTTTTTAGCAGGGGANATAATAATAATAATAATAATAATACAGTAAAAAGCTATCCAGGTAGAAAAAGAAAAATGGCAGAAAAGAAGGATGTGATAGCAAGACTATCCCTGAATACAGATAATGGGGTTGTGTGCCTATGAGAGTAATCAGAGAAGTGATTCTACAAATAAGATTATTTCATTAATAGTGTCAGCAAACGAAGCACTTTACATCTCAAGTTTCTGTTTTATTTTTTTAATAGGCTAAAAATGAAAAATTGCATAAAACATGCCTTTGGGGAGAACAGTTGTCTCCCCAGCCAACCCAAGAGTCACACAGTAGTAAATAGAATCTTTTACCCAATTTCTCTATAAATAGCTGTCCGAAGAGAGCGCTTGCTCTTGGCATCGTAATCATCAGGTTTAAGCAATAAAATAAAAGAGGCTTTTGGTTAGCTACTTTATCCTTCCCTGCCCTGGAAGTTAAAAAATGCTGGGTGTTTTTTTTTTGAAACAGCAGCGCATGAATCTTTATCTGGGATATCTTCTGACTTTAAAAAAAAAAATACAGGTAGTCCTCGAGATATAACAGGTCACTTAACAACTGTTCAAAGTTACGACAGATGCCCCCAAATTACATATGACTCTGTTGCAAAGTTACAACTGCTGCAGCGCCCCGTGGTCGTTCGCCCTTATGATCTCCATGCCACCCTGCCAGGACCCTGCAGTGCTTGGGCCTGCTCCCCAGACCTCTTGGAAGCAGCCGTTATTTTCAGTGGGAAATGACAGCTGCTTCCAGAGCTTTTTGCTCCAATCAGCTGGCCATCAGGAGATCGTTCTTGCTCGGCTTTGGGAAGTCAGCCCCTGCTTGCAAAAGCAGCAGCTTCAGGACAAGCGTTCCAAAACCTCCCCCTTGCTTTAACCCCCTCCCCGCCCCCCAGAAAGCCACATTTCTTCACAAAACAAAAAAAGCTGGGGGGGACAGACTTGTTGACTTTTCTCCCCCCCCAAACTCTTTGCCTTTGCCCTTCAACCTCTATCACTTTCAAAGACCCCCTTGAAGTGGAAAGGAAAGGAAGGAAGCAAGCAAAGAAAAATCTGCAGCTTTTTGCCTTCAGGAACTGAAGGGAAAAAAAGTTTGCCACAGCCATGGCAAAATATGGGTCCTAAAGGGAGTCAAGGCGGGCTCTTTGCTGCCCATTTGACACCCTTTAGAACCCAGCTTCCTCCGTGACCATTTGCTGCATGTTTCTGCTTTAGCCGATTTTGCTTTGGGACTTTTTTCTTCAGATCCTGTAGTCTGGAAAAAGGTTATCTTTCTTTGCTTGATTCCTTTCCTCTACTCTTCAGCCTGGGGTCAAGATAAATAACTTGCAGATTTTGTCACGCTCTTTCAAGGCATGCAGTAATACAGCAAATGAAGTTTTAAAAAAGGATAGTTTTTAAAAAGGCTAGCGATTGGAGGGCAGAGAGTTAAGGTTAGGGTTAGGGTTATCATTAGGATTATCATGACTCTCACGCTGCTATCATGTCACCACTGGTTCTTTTCTGCACTAGACCAGACATACCCAGTTCCTGCAACCATTCATACATTTTATTCTCCAGTCCCCTAGTCATCTTTATTGCTGTTCTTTCTAGAATCTTGACATCTTCTTTTGGACAATGGTGACCAAAACTGGACACAGTATTCCAAGTATGGTCTTACCAATGCAGTATAAAGTTCATGTGATTTTGATACTGTCCCTCTGTTAATGCAGCCTACAGCTGCATTGGCTTTTTTGACACCTGCAGCACACTGCTGGCTCATACTGAAGTGGATATCCACTAGGACAGGGGTAGGCAACCTTGGCTCTTTTATGACTCGTGGACTTCAACTCCCAGAATTCCTGAGCCAGCCATGGGAGTTG